CGCCTCTGAAGCTTTGCTCTGGCGCGGGACCCGCTTTGCTCCTGCTGGAGACGGTCCCCAGCAGACCAGGGGCACCGGGAGCAGCTTTTCTCGCCCCTGAGGTCGAGGTGGCGGGACCACTGCCTGCGAGCTCCGGGACGCGAGAGCCCCGTTCGTAAGTGCGGATCCGACATAAGTCGGATCCGCATAAGTCGGGGACTGCCTGTAGTCCTATGGCGCCTTAGGCCATGTCTAAACTACAACCCTTTTTTGAGAGAGGGATGTAGATTAGGCGTGTCGATATTGCAAATGAAGCCGAGATTTAAATGTCCCATGCCTCATTTGCATAATGGCGGGTGCCGCTTTTTTCCCGAAACAGGGATTTTTCAGAAAAAACGGCAGTTTAGACGGATCTTTTGAAAATTAAACCCTTTTTTTGAAAGAGCCTATATTCCTCAAAAAATGAGGTTTACAGGATCTTTCGAAAAAGGGTTTAATTTTCGAAAGATCTCCGTCTAAACTGCCATTTTTTTCTGAAAAAGCCCCGTTTTGAAAAAAGGGGCAGTTGCCATTATGCAAATGAAATGTGGGATATTTAAATCCCGGTTCATTTGCAATATCGACATGCCTAATCTACATCACTTTCTTGAAAAAGGGATGTAGTTTAGACACAGCCTTAGAGACTAACATATCTATCTATCTATCTATCTATCTATCTATCTATCTATCTATCTATCTATCTATCTATCTATCTAATCTGAATGAATGAATGAATGAATGAATGAATGAGAAAGTGGGTTTTGCCCACAAAAGTTATATATAGCATCATGAGCTTTTGTGGGCAAAATCCTCTTCCTCAGATGAGCAGAGGAAAAGTTATCCTCTCAGTATTGTGTTGGAATTCATTGTGATAACAGCAACATGTGATTCAGATTCTAAGAACTGTCAGAAAATGGAGTCTCACCTGTTATATAACTAGCTGTTATTTTTTCCTGACAGACATGTGACTCCTTTTTGAGTTTATAGTCATGATATCTTTCCAGTTTTATTTTCATTCCATGGGATGATAAAATTGATTATATCTACATGATACAGATGCAGAATGTCTCCTTACAGAGATGATGAGATATTTAAAACAAAAACTGAGGCTGAACTATTGTCCAAAATCTTACTGCTTCTTTTTCCGTATTTCTTAGCCCATCATCCCTTTGTTTACACAGAATATTCATGAAGGATTTAAAGCACTTGGAAAAATATGTAAGTTTTACTTCATATGTATGTTTTCAAATACTGACAGTTTTCTTTTATTTGTATTTTCAATATAAAATGTTTCTGGAAAATTCTTATGTCATGAATTTCTTTAGACTCTTTTGTTCTCTTTCAATTCTGGAACTGTTTCTTTGTGATGTAAACTGAAGTATACATGGGTTATCTAAACTGAAAGTGCATTTATTGGGCTAAGCATTAATTGTGCTCTAGGGTAACACATCTTAAGCTGACTTCAAATATACAGGAGGTAATTAAAAAGTAGATTATTATTGTCAAGATTATGTGGCTTGCATATTGTTTGACCTACTTCATTTTTATATTGCCTTTCATTAAACATCTATACCATTTAAAATGTATTAGTTGCACTCCAGAACTATTTGATATAGAGACTCTGCTGGCTGCTAAGGTTCTCTCTCAAAATGTAACCTATCTCTGCTTTGTTTTTTAATTCACAGCGTTTTTTAGATGGTTTTATGAATGTTCTCGATTGGCAGTCGTTCCTATATATGGAGGGTTCCCAGTTAAACTTCATACATATATTGGAGATCCCATTCTGTATGATCCAAATGTAACAGCTACAGAGTTAGTTGAAAAGGTAAGTTGGCTCTTCTCTTTAAAACTTCAGGAAACCTACAGTCTTAGTTTAAATTATGTTAGTTAGGTCTGAAGTATCTGACATAAAATTCTGTGTATATTGATTTCTTATCTCACCTCAAAAAAGATATTTTGGCCTTGGAAAGGGTTCAGAAAAGGGCAACTAAAACGATTAGGGGTTTGGAACGGGTCCCATATGAGGAGAGGTTAAAGCGACTGGGACTTTTCAGTTTAGAAAAGAGGAGACTGAGGGGGGATATGATAGAGGTCTATAAAATCTTGAGTGGTGTGGAGAGGGCTGATAAAGAAAAGTTATTTATTAGTTCCCTAAATAGAAGAACTAGAGGACACTAAATGAAATTAATGGGTAGCAGGTTTAAAACTAATAAAAGAAAGTTCTTCTTCACACAGTGTGTAGTTAACCTGTGGAACTCCTTGCCAGAGGAGGCTGTGAAGGCTAGGACTATAATAGAGTTTAAAGAAAAGCTAGATAATTTCATGGAGGTTAGGTCCATAAAAGGCTATTAGCCAGGGGATAAAATGGTGTCCTTGGCCTCTGTTTGTCAGAGGCTGGAGAGAGATGGCAGGAGACAAATCGCTTGATCATTGTCTTCGGTCCACCCTCTTTGGGGCATCTGGTGCTGGCCACTGTCGGCAGACAGGATACTGGGCTAGAAGGACCTTTGGTCTGACCCAGTACGACCGTTCTTATGTTCTTATTAAGTAAAAACATTCTTACCCTGCATTGCTCACCTTACTGTTACTCAATAACATCTCTGGCTGAAATATCATTTTCTCCTGACAACATTATCTTACTCTGTAGATTCCACTGCAGACTTATGCATTGTTATCTCTCATCATTTTCCCTGGCTTGCTCCCTCAATTCTGTACCCCGTAGGTTTCTGGACTGAGTTCTGTGGATCACTTGCTGTTGATTTGTGATGAGTTGGCTGATTGGGGATTCAGCTTAAGTGCCTCTGGTGACCACAACTGTGTCACTATGGCATGGGGAGAGAGACAATCCCTCAGGTAGGCAGAGGTGAAAGTAAGGGGATACACCCCCATGTGCAACTCATCCAAGAGTTGAATGAGCTGCAGCAAAGACAGCAGGGGGGATGTTTAAAGAATCATCAGAGACCTGTTTAAAGAGCTGGCAGGAACTTTGGAGCTGTTTAAAGAGGGAGGAGTTACTTAGGGTGTGTCTAGACTACAGGGTTTTGTCGACAAAAGTGGATTTTTGTCGACAAAACTATACCTGTGTCTACACTGCCACTGAGCTTTGACATAACGTAAACCTCATTCTACAAGGAATAACGTCTTTTGTTGACAGAGTTCTGTTGACGGAAGGCGTTATTGCATCTGCACTGTCCTTTGAGTCTACACTGTCATGTCGACAAATCGGTTTGCTTTGTCGACAGAACTGGATGTCGTCTAGACGCTCTTTGTCGACAGAATCTACTGGGCGGGTCTCACACTGCTGCTGATTTCCCTGCAGCAGTGCCCCTACAGAGAGCCCACAGCTCCCTTGCAGGCAGATAAAGTTACCTGGCCCCAGCCTTCCTCCTTCTATTATCTCCCCCCACCCAGGGGATGCCAGATCAAGGGAGGGTGTGAGGTGAACAAGTGCACCTGATCCAATTTTCCCCCTGTCTGGCCTCCATGTTTCCCTTCCGTGACTTATGCCCACAATTTATGCTCCCTTCCCTTACTTCTCATCCTTGTTTATCCCCCTACCCTCACTGTAGCCCCAATCCTGCCCCACATATTTCTCTGCTCCCTAACTTCCCTTCCCCTCTCAGCATGTGTTTACCTGTGTAATTTCCTTTAAAAATGTTTTTGGACTTTATGAATATTCTGCTGTAATCAGATTATATTTTCCCAAAATACAAAACCTCTTTAGAAGAGGCAGACTTTAAGAACATGCCTTTTTATTTCAGATTTCTGCTCACAGTAGGGTGATGATCAGGTTGAATAGACACAACAACATTGCTGCAGAGCTGTGGTTCTCAATCTGTTTACCATTGTGAGCCTCATATGCAGCTGTGACTGGGCCACAGTCTTTGATCTGCAGGTCAAGAACCACTTCCCCACAGCCACAAACTTGCTAAGAGTAAAGCTGCCTTTCTGCCCTCTTTGGCCCTTTCTCTGAATGTGTTCACTGAAACCCTAACCCTTTAATTATATTCACAATATTTTACAATACAAATCCTTTTCAGGTTTCAGTTTTTACTTCTTGTCAGGCAGAATAGATTCACTTCTAATCTGATGTGATGTAACCAACCATACTGTGTGGACCTCACTCAGGCTACATCTACACTGCAGGCTCTTGTGCAAGAAGCTTTTTGTGGAAGAGATCTTCCACAAAAACTTTAGCACAAGAATGCGTCCACACTACAAAAGCGCATCGCAAAATGCGATGCGCTATTGCATAAGAGAGCATCCAGACTGCATGGATGCTCTCTTGAAAGAAAGCTCTGATGGCTATTCAGAGAATAGCCATCAGAGCACCTGTGCTTTTTTCGATTGACTCTCTTTGCGCAAAGCCCCCCTGTTGCCCATCCACACACACCTTTTTGTGCAAGAACTCTTGCGCAAAAAGGAGTTATTCCTTGTAGAAAGAGGAATACCTACACCACAAATACCCCTTTGTTCATTTGAATTACTGTAAATTTACTTGCGCAAAAACATGCTTAAGGTGTGGGTGCTCCACAGGTTTTTGCGCAAAAACCCTATAGTGTAGAGGTAGCCTCAGAGACAGTAAAGGTGGATCCTCTTGCTGAAATAAAGCAGTTTTATATTCAGTGTATAAACAGAGATTGTGGCAACTTCCCCACATCCTTATTAGATTAGTCTGTCATATCAGGTTCACAATTTACAGAAGAAGGTAATTTTAAAAATTCCTCTTAAGAATATACAGGCCCCTCTTCCCCAAGGGAGTGGGTGGTTTTCAATAGGAAAGTACCATGACATTTGGGACACCAAAGATGCTGAGGAACAGCACAAAGCAGATTCTAAAATCAAAAGAAGACTTCATGCCAATTCCCCACCCTGCCTCTGTCTCCCCCCCCCCCCCCCCCCCCCCAGCCCCAGCCACTTACCTGAATCCCCTGCATTCAAGCCCCGCTTGCTAGATCCCCCTCACAAATGGGCTGCATGTGGAGGGAAAGCGACTAGTCGAGTTGACTATCTGATAAGCATTTGCTTATCAGATAGTGGAGTAGTCGCTTACATCCCTAATCCTGTCTCCTCTTCCCCCTTGGCCCTCACCACCATCTTAGAGAGGAAGGGTATCCTGAGAGTAAAATGGGAAAAACCAGGGATCTGAAGGAAACACACAATTTCAAAGAACAAATCAAACTTTTTTCTGTGATCTAAGGTAGATGCTGAGGCCAAAGAGAAGGTACAAAAAGGAAACTACCTTCTATTCAAAGGATCAAGGGGAAAGGATAGAAGACTTAGGCAAAATGGCAAAGCAGCCCCTAGACGTTATAAGATTTCCATGTTCCCATCCTGTATTTGGCAAAGGGATGTTACTGCACTGAAATGAGGCAGCAGGATTTCAGTGGTCTCCTTTTGGACACCAGTGTAAAGTTTTAGCTAAGGGCAGTGGTCACCACCAGTAGATCAGGATCTTCCGGTAGATCTTGGAGCCTCTGACGTGATCCTGACTGGTTTGGCCTGGAATCTATCAAGCGCTGGCACTTCAGTTGTCCCTCCACCCACTGTCATGCTGCTCCTGCTCTCTGCCTTGGAGCTGCCTCCCTGGGAGCCTCCTGCTTGCTATGCAGGGTGTGGGAGGGAGAAGAGGGATGGCACTGATGTCAGGGTGTCCCTGTTCCCCCCACTTCTGTACCCTATCCTCACACAGAGAGAAGGGATAGAGGGAGCCTAGCCTGTCATAGTTGGAGTAATTATCTCTGTGGTAATTGCTGCTCCTGGAAGTGGCTGGCATGTCCCTGCAGCCCCTGAGAAAGGCAGAGTAGGGGGGTCGCCATGTGCTGTCCTTGCCTGCAGACACCTCTCCTGCAGCTCCCATTGATCAATAACTGGAAACCAGGGCCAGTAGAAGCTGTGGGCTCAGTGCCTGTTGAGGGGTAGCACATGGTGCCACAGAGCCATTTCTGTACATGCCAACTGCTTTCAGGAGTGGTGAATGAGGTTCGGGGAGGAAAGGGGATGGAGTGAGCAGAGGAGGGGTGGAGCAAGGGCAGGGACTCAGAGAAAGGGTGAGAAGGAAGCAGGACAAAAGTATTTGGGTTTGAGGTAGATCTTACATTGCACTTAAATTGAAAAAGTGATCTTGTGGTTAAAAAGGTTGTAGACCACTGGCTAAGGGCATAATTTGACCTGCAAAATCTTTCAGTAATGAGTATGCCTCAGAAAGGGACACATCATGACTGTAAATCTGGGAGTTTGCAGGAGTGGATGTTAGTGAAACTTCATGCAGTTTGTAATATGAGGTAAATTAATGTGGGATAAATGGTACTCCTGGGAATTTAAGTTGATGATTAGTAGCTGACAGTGCTATTTAATAAATAACACTTTGAACACTTAAGTTCTTGAAGGCTCTTAATATTTGTAATTACTTTTGGGCAGAAGCAGAGGAATATCTTAAAAGGTTCACTGCATAGTCAAGGCAGCTATTTGTTTTTCCCCTCTACTGATCCAGCCTGATTTGGAGCGATTACCTCACTGTTTTGTAGAGATGCCAGATGGTTTCAACAAAAATACTGGACACACTTGACATTACATCACAGTCTACATTACATCTTATTTAGAAAACACCAGACATTTATATTTTCTCAATTTGTTTCCCAAACAGAAAGCTCAGATACTGGACTGCCTGGTTCAAAACCAGATACCTGGCAACC